TTTATAATTGTAAACTCAAAACACAGTAACTGTTACGTTCTTTCTGAGTTTTGGATCAAATTTCGGATTAATGTCCCCCGCTTTTCCATTCAGCAGGTTAATAATATAAAGGGATTCCTTTTGAATTTTTCAATCCGTCGAGTTTATAGATAGCTAATTTAGGGTATGTAGTAGAAATAAATTACGAGTTAGGTTCGGAACTAAGCAAAAGAAAACTTAGTAGAAAGCGTACCGGCTGCCGATACGAGGATGCGTTTTTTGCACAGTTCCCCCGCAGGTTTTTTTTTTCGCCAGTGGCACGTTTTTCCCGGCAAATGCTTCTAGCTAAAAGAATTGGACTGGCCATCACGACTGTTAGAAATTATTACAATGACTCACAATCCATGCCCAAAAAATCCAACGCTCTGGATGCCTCGATTGCAGAGTTACATCAAATTTCACTTGTTCGCACGTAAGTGGCAACGTGGATGCTTTCATCGCTCGTGTTTGCTCAAACACGGTCTTGGGTAGCGCTCAGAAAGTTTCAGCACTCCAGCTGCTCTGGTTGCAGGGTTACGCCAAATTTGACGTGCTCGTACATGAGTGGCAACGTGAATGCTTTCTTCGCCCGCGGTTGTTCAAACACGGTCCTGGGTGACGCTCAGAAAGACTCAGCACTCCAGGTGCTCTGGCTGCAGAGTTACGTCAAATCTTACGTTTGCACACGTGAAACATACGTGACACATGAAAGTGATGTGTAAGTCGTTTTTACATGTATCTGGTCAAAGGCCACCGTCGGTTGTGTTCAGAAAGTCCAGGTCCTCTGGCTGGTCCAATTCTGAAGTTACAAAAGCGCATGCGCGAAATTTTCACGTGTTCGTGCGTGAGATGCAGAAGAGCTGACAAGTAATTTACTTTTACAGGCACAACAGTAGGCGACAAGTAAAGGTGCAAAATTGCTTATTGATCAGCTTAAATCTGGAGTTAGCTTGATGCCAGTTTAAACTCTGACTTGTGTGTACATGGGACCTACGGATACATGAAGGCTGAATTTGAAATCTTTGGATTAGACGCGGCCAAGGAACATCTCTGTGAAGTCCCAGCCTCCTGGCATGAGCCGTTCCTGAAAACGCTTTCCCGTCAAAGAAACTTTCACGTGCCCCTATGTGAGGACCACGCGGACCTGAGAGTCCATTTTGAGGATACGAGCCCGCACTTCTGTGTAGATTAAGTCACCAAATTTTTAGCCCTGTAGCTTTTGTGGATTTCAAGATGAAAACTTGTTACAGACGAACACACAAACACACAGACACACACACACACAGAAAACCCTTCGGCAATATGCGCTTTTGCATTGCATAGCTGCAAAAAACAAATAA